ATATGGCCTTTGTCCAATGGAGTTTGTTCTCTTTTATTCCTAGTTTGTTGAGTATTTTGTCATTAAAGAGTTTTAAGTTTTGTCAAAGCCATTTTTTGTATCTATTTTGATGGTCATGTGGCTTTTTGTCCTTTCTTCTATTAATATAGTGTATTACATTAATTTTCAAATATCGAACCAACCTTACATTCCTGGAAGGAATCCCACTCAGTCATGGTGTTATAGTTCTTTTTATCTGTTGCTGAATTTTTATTTGCTATTATGTTGTTGAAGACTTTTGCATCTATATTCATAGGGGATATTAGTCTCTAATTTTACTGGAATTTCTTTGGTTTTGACAACAGGATAATGCCAGCCACACAGAATGATTTGGGAAGTATTCCCTCCTATTCTTTTTGGAAGAGTTTGTGAAATATTGGCATTTATTCTTTTTTTAATGTTTCACAGAATTCACCAGCAAAACCATCTGGGCCTTGCCTTTTCTTTGTGGGTAGTTTTGTTTTGTTCTTCCATTAATAATTTGATCTCTTGTTATAGGACTATTCTGATTTTCTAATTCTTCTTGAGTCAGTTTCAATAGTTTGTGTCTTTCTAGGAATTTATCTATTTCATCTAAGTTATCTAATTTGTCAGCATTCAGTTGTTCATACTGTTCCCTTATGATCATTTTTATTTCTGTAAGGTTGGTATTAATGTACCTCTCTCATAAGTTTTTTATAATTTGTTCAAATCAGGATCCAAACAATGCCAATACATTGCATTTGATTCATTTGTCTCTTAGGTCTCTTTTATTACATGGATTTGCCCTCTAAATCTCATTTTTCCTTGATATTTATTTATTGAAGACACCAAGTCATCTGTCCTTTAGGTTTCCCACATTCTAGATTTTCCTGTTTGTGTTCCTGGGAGTCTCTAGCATGTTCTTCTATCCCCTAGATACTTGATAGTGCTGTATGCTTTATTCTGATTCAGGTTTGAATTTTTATTTTTTTTAAGATTGGCACCTGAGCTAACCATCTGTTGCCAATCTTTTTATTTTTTTCTCTTCTTCTCCCCAAAGCCCCGCCCCCCCCACCCCCAGTACATAGTTGTATATTCTAGTTGTAGGTGCCTCTGGTTGTGCTATGTGGGACGCCACCTCAGCATGGCCTGATGAGCGGTGCCATGTCCGCACCTGGAATCAGAACCAGGGAAACCCCGGGCCGCCAGAGTGTGTGAACTTAACCACTCAGCCATGGGGCCAGCCCCTGGTTTGAATTTTTTGGCAAAGGTGCATCATACATCCATAGGAGGCACATCATTTCCAATTGTCCCTTTTTATGAAGTTGGCAGTCATTGATGACCATTGCCTAGGTTCATTATTATAACTGGAAGAGTCTGGTTGAAGGCAGAATAAGTAAAGTGGAGCAGGTGAACACCATCAATCTGTAGTACGTGAGATCTTTGGAAGTTCTCTTGGGATCGTGAGCTCTACATTCTACACTATTTTCAGAACCTTGGAGTCAGGAGATGGAATCTACTCCTGGTTCTGCCACAAACTAGCCGAGCATCCCTGGCAAATCATGCTTCCTGTTTGGCCTGGGCTTTCTTATCTACAGAATGGGGGCATAGACTATACACGAACCTCTAAGGTTTCTTGCTATTCTAGCGTTCTCTGACTAAACACTTAAGTAGTGGACTTAATCTTTACCAAATATGATTTAGGAGGATTAAAAAGGAACTGCTGACATTATATTCTTCCCAATCTCATACCAAGGGCCTAAAAACTTTATGGGTTTTTTATGGGTTTTCTTGATTTTTCCGACAGTTTTGAGGATGATTTTTTATTAATATCTTCAGCCATACCTGTTGTTATCTATATTCTGATTGTATTTTACTCAGCAACTGATTGACAGATGCCTGTCTTAGGTATCAGTTCATATAGAAAATGCGGTTTGGGCATAGAAAGCTTTCTGGAAGCAAATACACCAAAATATTAGCAAGTGATTCTCTCTGGGTGGTAAAATTATGGTTCATTTTTTTAACTTAAGTCTGAATTCTTCATTTTATTCTGCAAACATGTATTTTTTTAAAAAGTCATTCTTAAACGATTTGATAGCATATTTTTGACAGCATGCCCTAACAAACAGAAATCACTAAATTCTGGGTAAGAAGATTTCTTTCTCTTCCTATGATTCAGGTAGGCATTATCTTCCAGTCTAGGTTAGCCTAAATATTTTAGTAATAGGTACTTACATCTAATTAGATAGCTTTATTTAATCTTCTTCAGTAATCTCAGTGAAAAAGAAAATATACTATGCCTACTTAAATGAAAATTCAGGAAGAACAGCAGCAATACATACTATCAACGTCTGTGTCATAGCCCATATGGAATCTGGATTTGCGCTTCTTGGGTAACAGGTAGTCTTTGCGCTTCTTGGGTAACAGGTAGTCTCTTTGCTGGAGTAGTGGTGTGTTTTACAGAAGAGTGTGGGCAAAGGCGGGTGTGTCTTTTGTATATGTTGAAAGCAGGAGATTAGAAACTACTTTGCTAAATCGTGTTCATAACAACTCCCTGGAGTACAATTACTCTCTGCTTGACGTACCTGGTCAGTATGACCCACAGAAGGAGACAATACAGGTGTCGGCCTTCCTCTCATGGGTTTCCCCACCTGGCAAGGTGTTATGCTGCTGGTGTGCCCCTCTGTAGACACCTTGATGGCAGTTACTGGAGAACTGGTAGAGTCAGAGGTGCTCTCATAGCTGTCAACTCACTGTGTGACCCAGATGAGTCTTTTAGCCTAGTCACAAGCACCAAGGTCACTTCATCTTTAATGGAGAGGCTACTTCAGTTTCCAATGTAGTCACAACTAGTGAAACTGATATTACAAAAACCCACTTCTCAGTAACAAAGGCAGTATGAAAGTCAGCCTTCTTACCATGAGAAGCATGACCAACCCAGGTGGTTTTGTAGCCAGCTCTGACGCAAAAGAAATGATTGAATAGCCCTTTAAACCTTACCTGTTGCCCAAAATGTCATAATCTGGATCTGTTCAGGCGTTCTGAAAACCATTCCTTATATCTACTAAGGACAAAGGCCACATGCCAAAAAGTAGGTAACCTGACATAGAGCTTTAGTTTGGGGATTTTCTTTTGAACTGCCATCAGTGCGGTCGCTCAAGTAACATTGGTCCATGCCAATTCACAAGTGGACTCTTGTGCCAGCGGCACAATCAAGCCAACCAAACGCAAAGAACCATTTAGAGACATGCAAAACCAAGTGAGGGAGCAATTTGCTTTCATTTTGTCCATTATCTAATAGCCTCTCCTTTGCCAGAATTTGACTTGCCCCTGGGTATGCAGAGCTGAAAAGATAAAATTTTTACCCTCAAGGGAGTCAGTTTAGTAGGGAAAACAGAAATTACTAGACTATACAGTTATTACAATGATGGACTATCAAAAGGGACACTTAGTAGGTGTGGGTGGGCCAAAGAAAACTAAGAAGGAATGAAGGGAGTGTTCTTGAGCCAAACCAAATAAACAAAACTGAAACTCACCATTATGATAAACCCACTCTCAGAAGTAGAATATTGATTTAGACTAGTTCTCATTTGGAAGGGTTTATTTATTCTAATAATTTCAAGCAATCCTAAGTCTTTCCATTTTAACAAGGTCATTTAGAGTTTCAAAGATATTTCCAAAAGTAGGAGTAGTTTGACATGTGGGCCATCATATACATACACACACACACACTTCACGGTCATCTGGCAAAGTGAGAAGAGTTCATCAGCTAGATGAGAATGTGGAAGTGAAACTTCCCCACTGTGTCTGCTTTAGTAACAGCAGCACATTCCTGCCTGTGTTTGTTCCCTTATATTAAGGATGAAATCATTCCGACCATCGACTGTAAATCTCGGGGTGCTGCCTGCCTGTCATACGTGGGAACCTTTGACGATGACTCCAGAATTGCGCAATTGTGTTTCTTCTGTTTTTGTTTTTGCCACATTAACTGTATCAGGTAGTGCTTGAAATAGAGGTGGAATCTGTTACTCCGCCAGCTTACCGTTTAACAAGTCAAATGATGCATTAAGAAAGCAAATTTTTAAACTATAAGATGTGTATTTGCCATATTTCCTGCTTAGTCTTATTTAGAGCTTTCTATGCCTGGATGAAATTCTCTTGCCTTCTACTGTTTGCAATAACTCAAGTCTTTTTTCTTCTTTTCAGATAATCTACTTATATTTATGCCATATTTTCTAGTTTTTCTTATTGCTTCATCTAATTTCTAAATAAACATAGAATACACAATATTAGTCTGTTCACAGTCACTAAACTAATATCCTCAAATGTATTTGGATTTTGTGAGTTCCCCAAATTTGCCTTTGCTCGTGCATGATTTAGCTATGTAACTTCCCTTGCACTGTCTTCTCTCAAGAACTTGGCCGCACTGCATTTCTCTCCATCATTTCCCACACTGCACTGGCATTTTGAGTCATCTGGGATGAGGCACCCTCCCTGCTATTAACTGTGTAATGTTTAAACTCGGCTTGCCCGTCTCCTTTCTTTTGAATTTAAACACCACGTGAATTAAACTGACCTTACTTGCTTTCAACCTGTAATTCCTGACTGCAACAGGTAGTTGCCAACTCTTGTAACTGACAGGTTTGACTAGAAGCTGACCGTTCTTACTCCCTCTGAACTTAATATTTGGCGTTTGTATAAATTCAAAAGGCAAGATCGTACCTTTCTTATTAATGGGCCCTCTTTGTCCATTGATAATACAGTATCTCCATCAACAGGAAGTAATTGTGCCATACCTCAGAAAATAGACTCCTCTTAGTGCCAAGCAGGGGAAAGCAGGAGAATTTTACCGCAAAGAGGCTACGAGCCCCTTCAAGGGATTTACCAGACGAGTGCTGGTGTAAGTTACAAAGACAGTGCTAGTCTCTACCCCGAGGAGCAGCCAGGACACTTGCCTGATGGCAGGTGGGGTAAATTGACTCTTTGTACTTGCAACTCAGGCATGTGAAGAATACAGCATCCCTCGAGTCCAGAGATTTGAGATCACCAGTGTTTATCCAGCCAGCATGATGGCGATGAGAGAAGAGAGAAACTTCAGAGCCAAGGAAGGTTTGACAGAGCCTTAAATCAATCCTGCCTTAGAATCGTGGAAAGTTAGATCAGGAAGGGACCTTAGAGACCTCTGCTCCACCACCCCTGTTTGACTGTGAGGAAGCCGAAGGCCCGCGCAGTTCAGGGATTCACCCATGGTCTTGCACTCCTGGCTAGGGACAGAGTCAGAACTGGAACTGGATAATCCTGACTCCGTTTCAGTAGTCTTAAAGCTGGCTGATGAGGAAATTTGACACCCCCCACTCTGAACCCATGTTCCCAAAGGTTTGCTGTATCCAGCTCGTGAATGCCCCTTTCTCTGAAAATTAGGCAAACAGGTTGGAATATTTTAGAAAGAAAACACTGGCTGTAAAGTGGGAAGAAATTCCTGTATGGACTTGCCAACTAGAAGCAAGTATTTGGCTTCCCCAAGACAAAGGAGAGTCTTAGTCATGAGGTTCAAGGTAGAAACTGATTGTGTCACCAGGCTGAGGGCAGACAACCTTTTTTGGAAGCAGTAGGCTGAAATTAGAACTGAATAAAAGAGTTTACAAAAGCTGGAATTTGGAGCTATCTCACAATACCGGGAGTTATTTTGTTTTTGTTTGCTTACTTTTGGTGAGGTATTTCAGGCACACAAACAAGAACAGAAACTGTGATGACCTCCTCGTACAGCCCAGCTGATCTCATTCCCTCCCTCCCTCCTGAATTTGGTGCTTATATTGCCACACCTGTTGTGTTTTTCCTATATATAAATGTACCCGTTAGCAATATTTAGTATTGTTTTCATATTTTAAGTGTTATATGAAGGCTATCACATTGCAGGTACCTTTCTGCAACTTGCTCTTTTTTTTTTTTTTTTTTAGATTTGTGCTATGGATAAACAGGATGGCTCCAGTGAATATTTCTTAACTGCTCTGTGGTATTGCACCGTAGGAATGTTTTAGCATTTACCTAATCTCCTATTGATGGCCATCTGGTGAGTTTCCAGGGTTTTTGTTTTGTTTTGTTTGCTGGTTTTTTTAACCTTGCTATATAAACATTTTTATAGCACCCTCTCCTGATGCATGTGTACAAGAGTTTCTTTAGTGACATTTACGAGGTCTTGGTGTGCACATCTTGGGCTGACAAAAAGATCTCAAAAATAAACAGCAAATACGAGTGTCCAACACTAACACTGTGTATTTCCAGAGTTTCTAATTTTTCACTAATCTGAAGAGTGTAAAATGGTATTTCTTTATGGTGTTAATGTGCATTTCCCTGGCCTCACGGGGCTGAAGATCTTTCTACGTGTTCACTGGCAATTCGGATCTCCTTTTCTGCCTGGGCCACTTTTCAGATGGGCTGCTTGTCTTTTTATTATTGATTTTTAGAAATTTTTCTTTAGTCAGGATATAAATCCTTCATCAGTTGATATACAGCCAATATCTTCTCCCAGTCTGGAGTGTGATTTTCACTTAATGGTGTCTTTTCATGATCAGATTTATCAATCTTTTCTTTTTTTTTTCGTAAAGATTTTACTTTTCCTTTTTCTCCCCAAAGCCCCCCAGTACACAGTTGTATATATTTTTAGTTGTGGGTCCTTCTAGTTGTGGCATGTGGGACGCCACCTCAGCATGGCCTGACGAGCAGTGCCAAGTCCGCGCCCAGGATCCGAACCAGCGAAACCCTGGGCCACTGAAGCTGAGAACGTGAAGTTAACCACTCAGCCACAGGGCGGCCCCAATCTTTTCTTTTTTGATTTGTGCTTATTTCTTCTTCTTTTAAAAAAATCTTTCCCCTCTCCAAGGTCATAAAAATATCCTATATTTCCCTCTAGTTTTTTAAGTTTTGGTTTTTACAACCTTTAGATATTTTACACACCTAGAATTTACTTTTGTGTGAAGTGTGAGGTAGGAAACTAATTTTATTTTTTTTCAAAATCAACAACCAGTTGTTTTGAAACCTTTCATTGAGAATGCTATCCTTTTCCCAAAAAGTGGGTAATTCACTTTTGACGTATATTCTGGATTCTCTGTGGGTTCTGTCAGGTTCTCCTTCCACCCCTGTGCCTTTCCACAGCACCATAATTACTATACCTTTATAGTAAATTGCAGTATCTGGAAGGTAAACGCTTACCTGACAAGGGAACACAATGCGAGCTAGCTGTGGTTGAGCTTCTCTCCTGAATCCCACCCAGGAGGATGCATGCCACAGGGAGGAAAACCCAGAAGGAGGCAGTGGGATGGGCTGGTGGGGCAGAGGCTGAGTAGCAAAGTTGGAATCCGGGACCTGGAGCTCACTGTCCTGGAGCGGGGAGCTCTGTGCTCTGTGGAGGCCTGCAGGGCCCTCCAGAGAGCACACGTGTCCCGTGAGAGAGCCAGGCCGTGGATGCCTGCCCACAGGAGGCCTCTGTGGTCAGTCCGCGTTACGAGGTAAACCGACAGCCACAGCAGGAGATTCCAGTTACTCCCAGTGAAGGAAAAAGACATTTGCTCTGAAAATGAAGTTAAGGGAACAACTCCATTTATAATAGCATCAACGAGACTAAAATACTTTGAAATAGATTTAACAAAAGAAGTAGAAGACTTGCGCACTGCACGTTGTTGAAAGAAGTTAAGGAAGACCTAAGTAGATGGACTGGAAGACTTGTTGTTGTCTGACCTACTACTCTCCAAGCTGATCCACAGATTCAGTCCAACCCCCATCAAAATTTCAGGCGTCGTCTTTGTAGAAACTGACAAACTGCTTCTAACATTCTTATGGAAAGGCAGAGGACCAAGAAAAGCCAAAACCATCTTGGAAAGAAAGAACAAAGGTGGAGGACTCACATTCCTGATTTCAAAACTCACTACAAAGCTACAATAATCAAAGCAGTGTGGTGCTGGCCTAAGGATAGACATATAGACCAATGGAATAGAATTGAGAGTCAAAAAACAAACCCAAACATCTATGCTCAATTGATTTTCAACAAGGTGCCAAGATAATTCAGTGAGGAAATAGAACAAATGGTGCTGGGACAATTGGGTAGCTACGTATAAAAGAATGAAGTTAGATCCCTACTTTACACCATACATAAAAAATTGGTATAAACCTAAAACTGCTCTAAAAAATAAAGTCAATTTAAATGTTAAAAAAAGACTCAAAAAAGATCAAAGACCTAAATAAAAATCTAAATAAAATCAAATCTAAATAAAAGTCTACAAAATAAATGTGGGAATAAATCTTCATGCCCTTGTCCTTGGATTAGGCAATGGTTTAGATATGACACCAAAAACAGGCAACAAAAGAAAAAAAAATAAACTGAATTACATCAAAATTTAAAACTATTGTGCTTCATAGAAGACTATTAAGAAAGAAAAAAAGACAATCGAAGCAATGGGAGAAAATTTTTTTTGCAAATCATGTATCTAATAAGGGTCTAGTATCCAGAATATGTAAAGAACTCTTACAACTCAATAATAAAAAGACATGTAACCTAATTTAAAAATGAGCAGAGGATATGAAGAGACATTTCTCCAAAGAAAATATACAAATAGCCAATTGAGCCCATGAGAAGATGATCAACATCCTGGGTCATTAGGGAAATTCAAATCAAAACTACATTGAGACACCACGCCCACCCACTGGAATGACCATAATTTGAAAATCAAAAAAGCCAACAGAAAATACCAAGTATTGGTGAGGATGTGGAGGAGTTGGAACCCTCATCCAATGCTCCTGGGTATGTAAAACGCTGTAGCTGCTTTGGAAAACAGTGTGGTACTTTCTCAAAAAGTTAAGCAGAGAGTTAGTATATGATGCAGCAATTCCACTCTGAGGCATATCCCCAAGAGAATTTAAAGCATACATCTACACAAAACCTGGCACAGTCAGGTTCACAGCAGCATTATTCATAATAGCCAAGAAGAGGAAGCAATCCGAATGTCCATCAGCTAATGAATGGACAAATAAAATGTGATCCAGCCAAGGAATGCTGGATAATAATGTATATTATTATATATTGGAATAATTATATGTTACAATCCAATAATTATATATTGGAATGGTGGAATTATTCAGCCGTGAATAATAAACCTTGAAAATATCCTAAGTGAAAGTAGGCAGAAATGAAAGGCCACATAGTATATGTATTGTCCAATTATATGTAATGTCCCAAATAGGCAAATGCAGAGAGAAAGTAGATTAGCGGTTGCCTAAGGCTGGGGTAGGGGGAGGGTTGTGGGGTGAGGAGGCATTGAGGAGTGGCTGCTAATGGGTACTGGGTTCCTTTTTGGGGTGATGAAAATGTTCTCGCATTAGATAGTGGTGTTGGTTGCACGACCTTGTGAATATACTAAAAAATACTGAATGGTACACTTTAAAATGGAGAGTTTTATGATATGTGAATTATATCTCAATAAAGAAATGAATCACCTCAAAAGAACAAAAGACATTTGCGTTTCTTCACCCTCTGTTTTCCTTCTCCAGCACCCGAGGAGCAGAACCTGGAAGTGGGACCAGTGGGAGGGAGTCAGTCAGCAGACCTCGCCTCACACGAGGTCCCCGCTGCCCGTCCTGTGAGTAGGGAGGGGGTTGCTTTGCATTAGATGAGAAAATAGAGTTAAACTGAACTGGATCGTTCTACTGACTAAAAGAGATGGACATGCAATGATAGGGGCCTCAAATGGCCTTGCGGCCTGGGAAAGGAAGGCTTTCAGAGCAAGTTGAAGGCGGGGATGGTACAAGAAGTCAAATCACTCCATGTTTGAGTTTTACCGGATTGACGCTTCTCAGTAAAGGGTCACATTGATGTAGTGCGTGGGGAAGAGTTTGTGCAGGCAACGCCGCATGAACCAAAGCTACCAGTGGTGTTCTTGTTTGGGGAGGACGGGGTACGTGCTCTGAAAGGATGAGGGTCAGACAGCACAGTGCGCCTGGGTCCTGACCTCTCAGTACCAGTCCTTACGAAAAGGAGTCGGGGCTCGCAGAAACAGCTGGTTCCCACCGGAGCTGGGAATGGGCAAGGCAGGACTGGGGAAACTCGTTTCAAAAAAAAGCAAATACCGGCCAGCCCAGTGGCGCAGCGGTTACGTTCGCACGTTCCGCTTTGGCAGCCCGGGGTTCGCTGGTCCAGATCCTGGGTGCGGACCTACACACTGCTTATCAAGCCGTGCTATGGCAGGCGTCCCACATAAAATAGAGGAGGATGGGCACGGATGTTAGCCCAGGGCCAACCTTCCTCAGCAAAAAGAGGAGGATTCACGGCAGATGTTAGCTCAGGGCTAATCTTCCCCCCGCCCCCTCCAAAAAAAAACAGGTTTTCAAAGACAGGATTGTGTCAAAGAGACACAGAAGCAAGCTGAAGGGGACTCAACGAGCCAAGGTTGGGGTAATTTCCACTAACCCATTATTAGGAAATTGTTAATTAGATGGAAGGAATTAAGCGTTTATCCTACCTTTCCAGTGAGAAATGTATTTCAGAGTAAACAGACATTCCCAAGTGATGAGGGAAAGCTCTTCTGTAGAGAGGAATGCCAGCTAATAAATGTAGGACCAATGAGAGAACAAAGTTTGAGTTTCATCAACCCTTACGAAATAGTTGATCCAGACAATTACCAGCAGATACCAAAACCATGAGGTGAAAGTCTGATGCAGCACTTTCTGTCTGCATGGTGTCATATTATCCCGTGATAAACATAACTGTTCAATAGACGCTGTCACCGCTTTAACACGGGTCACTCCCAGCGTTGCTAACAGGGGCAACACCACACGCTGTACCTCCCCATGTGATGCAGTATGTGATAAACAGCATCGCCTGTGAAATGATTCTTGGCAAAATATTCAAAATCAGACCAATTAAGACTTAGATCTAACTTACCATTTTTGGGAAATATAGGAGAAAGAAGAACAAAATAACTGATATCAAAAGGAAACAATCGGGCGAATCTAGAAGTTGAAACATTCTATAAGACCACCGTTCTGACCTCTTCAACAAGTCATTGTAATGGGGAAAAATGAGAGGCAGAGAGGCTGTTTTAGACTGATTGAGGCTTAGGAGTCCTAAGAATTAAATGTAACATATATCCTTGATCAGATCTTGATTAAAAAGACAATTGTAGAAGCCACTTGAGGAATATTACGGTAGTCTGAATATGGACTGAGCAGTATCTTAAAAAATTCCTGTTAAATTTTTTAAGCGGAACAATAGTATTATGGTTATGTAGGAAAATATCTTTATTTTTTTGGAGATACTTACTAGGCTATTTCAAAGTAAGAAAGTATACTGTAATTTGCTTTAAAATACCTCAATAATAACAACAAAAAATGAAGCAAATTTGCCCAAATATTAACAATTGTTAAATCTAAGTAAGATTTTTTGAGTGTTCATTATACTATTCTTTTCTATGTGCTTAAAAATTTTTATAATGAAAGCTTTAAAAGAGAAACAAAAAAGTGAACTTAAACAACTCTAAAACTCTTCTAGAGCCGCCTCTTTAATTCTTTAGTCCTTCACCAACAAGTCATCTTCCATCAACTGCTGTCTTCCTTCTCCCATGGTCTAAACACTTGTCGATGCATCACGCTAATTGATTGGAAACTCTGTCACCATGCTTGTATACATAACACAATAAGAAGAAGAGAAGCGTCACTGTTAGGAGGCAAAACGTCAGCAATTCTGATTTCACTGATTGAAATGTTTCACTGTTCTGTTGGAGCTGAGTGACAATTACGTCCCCCCATCAGTTTTTTCTTTTTATAATTCATTGTATTTTTATAAAATTATATGTAAGTAGTTTTAAGACTCAAATAATGCAGAAAGACAAGTCCCTTGTGTACCGTCCGTCACTTAGGAATGTGTAGAGAGCAATGAAATTAAGAGTAAGGATGACAGAGAAAATGAATAAAACCAAAATTGGTTCGTCAAAAACAGTAAGACAGAACTCTGATAAGATTTTTAAAAAAAGAAAGGAAAAAGTAAACAAAGAAGTAGCAACTAGAGAAAGTAGAAAAGGAGAAATAACTGAAGACAAAAATGAGATTTAAATTATAAACTAATGTTTTTCTTTTTCTTTTTTTTTTTTTTTTTTTGAGGAAGATTAGCCCTGAGCTAACTGCTGCCAATCCTCCTCTTTTTGCCGGAAAGACTGGCCCTGAGCTAACATCTGTGCCGATATTCCTCCACTTTACACGTGGGATGCCTACTACAGCATGGCTTGCCAAGTGGTGCCATGTCCGCACCCAGGATCCGAACCGGCGAACCCCGGGCCACCGAGAAGCAGCACATGCGCACTTAACCACTGTGCCACCAGGCCGGCCCCTGTAAAATAATTTTATAGTAAATATGCACCAATATTTTAAAACCCACCAAAAAATGGATAAATTTCTGGAAAAATAAAAAGTTCTAATGTTGATGAAAGAAGAAAGAGAAAATTAGAATAGACCAATAAGCATTAAAGAAAATGAAATTGCAATTAAGCACTTCTCCCGAAAAAGCACAGGCCGAGACAGTTTGACAGGCGGGGTATGCCAAATTTTCAAAGGATGGATACTCTTATTACATACTCTGTGTTTCAAAAAATAGAAAATGAGCAAAGGCTGCCAAGATGATTTATGAGGCTAGTGTAACTCTGAATCCAAAAACTGGATAAGGACATTATTTAAAAAGTCAGTTAGGCTGATATCATATATAACATATATTTTTATATCCAATATAAAATATTAGCTAACTGAATCCAACAGTGAATTTAAAAAAATAATAACTCAATGGAGAAACTTTAGAAGCATCCCCTTGAAGATTAATGGAAAATAAAAACCTGTCTACCCCCATGACTACCCGTTAAAATTATACTGGATGCTCGGCAGTGCTATGAGAAAATGCAATAAGCGATATGGGGATTGGAAGTAAAGAGATCAGCTGTCATTTTGTGAAAAACAATATGATTAACGTAGAAAAATCAACAGAATCAACAAACCAGTGCAACTGTCTGGATGTACCGTATCTTATTCAATCAGTTCCCTGTTAACAGGCATTGGAACTGATCTTTTGCTGTTAAAAATCGTGCCATGATGAATAACCCTGTGCGTGAGTTGTTACATATTTGTGGGGGTGAGTCTTCAGGGTAAATTCCCAGAAGTGGTATTGCTAAATCAAAGTGTAGATGCATATGGAAGTTTGTTAGCCAAATTCACTCCAAGTGGTTGCACCATTTTATGTCCCAACCAACAATATGTGAGTGCCTGTTTCTTCACAGCCTCGTTAACAAAGTGCATTGTCAAACATTTGGATTTTTGTCAATCTGATAGGTGTAAGGTGTTATTAGTATCTTATTGTAGTTTTCATTTACATTTCTCTATAGTGTAGGTTGAGTGAGGTTGAAAATCTTTTTGTATGTTTAAAACCATTTGCTGGGTCCCGCCAGGTGGCGCAGTGGTTAAGTTCACATGTTCCGCTTCGGTGGCCCGGAGTTTGCTGGTTCAAATCCCTCGTGTGGACCTATGCACTGCTTGTCAAGCCATGCTGTGGCAGGAGTCCCACATATAAAGTAGAGGAGATGAGAACGGATGTTAGCTCAGGGCCAGTCTTCCTCAGCAAAAAGAGGAGGATTGGCAGCAGATGTTAGTTCAGGGCTAATCTTCCTAAAAAAAAAAAAAAAAACCCGTTTGCCTGTGTTTTTCTGGTCTCTTTTTACCTATTTTTCTATTGAGTTTTTGCTTGTCTCAGTTTTTGAAAAGTAGCTTTGTTTTTTTGTAGTTAAAAAGAGGAAAACAATCTGAATGTCCACAAATTTGGGGATGGGTTAATTATTCTATATGCATACAATGCGATACTATACAGCTATAAAGATTAAAGTTGGTAGGCTATGATTCTATGGAAAGATCCCCACCTATAGTGTTCAATAAAAAAGCAATGTTTAGAATAATTTAAATACCATGATCCCATCTCAGAAAAAAATAAGGTCATACATAAGGCCGTATGTAAGAAACTGTTATATTTCCACTGGGAAGTTCCAAGGGTTGAAGATGAAGAGAAAGGTTTTATTTTTCATTTTATAGCCTTCAGTATTGCACAGTGAGTTTGAACAGCAAATCTCAATCAACAAACTCAGTCCATAGTGTGCATAAGGTGCAAGAAACTCTTTTCAGATTCCAAGCCCCATCCCTCTGGCAAATGGGAAATTCAGCCGCAGTTGTCATGGGCCCTCCTCCCTTCACCCACAGAGCGAAGGCCCTGCAGTCTAACACAGCGGCCACGTGTCTTTCAACGACTGAAATAAAGACCACCACAGGTAGAGGGAATACAAAGCTGAGTGTATTCACTTGCCAGGCAGGGGAACACACACCGGAGAAGAAACTCACTGAGTAGTTCTCCGAGAAAAAAATCAAAGGGTTTTTTTAAGGACCAAAAAAGTGGTTATGCTAAGCGTTGGATACCAGCACCCTGGAGAGAACCAAAGGAGCCTACAGACCTGTGTAGAGGTGGCTGAAGCAAGTCCTGTCATCGGTTGGTCACTTAGGTCCTGCAAGGGGCTGGAGTACGGGGGTCACTCAAAGTTCACGGTCCTTCCTCAGCGTTAACTGATCGGCCCCACGCCATGGAATACAAGGTTCCGTTTGTACATCCCTGGGCAAACGCTGCTGTCCGTGGCAACTGTTCTACCATCCCTTGTCTTAGCCCTCCCTTTCCCACAGCGTCACGGTGACCGCAGAGAGCACAGGCAGTTTCCCAGATTTCAGGTCTACGCCGCTATCTTTGATTCACATGACAGTCTCACACGATTTCTATGTGTTTATTTAGGTCACTTTGGTTTCTTTTGTTGTAGAATCTTCTAGCCTGTGAACCAACAGAATAGTGGTGGTGCAGCACCACTTAAGACCGTGCTAAAAATGCACTTGACGCAGCTGCAGTGAGAACACAGCCAGCGTCGCAGAACGTCCCCTAACAGCCTCCTGTCTGGTGCTCAGCTGTAAACTTCCCATTGGTTGGCTGTTCCCACCTGGGACGACCACTTGACTTGTTCTTGACTTTCATGAAGGAACCACTGTCTCACCCTGAAGCATCTACTCAAACGCAAAAGGAGGTATTAGCCAGGGCTCAAACGCTGCTGTGTCTTGTCAGCGTTAACTACAGTGCGTCTGTTTCCAGCACCGTGGCAGCAACTAGGACAAGGCTTTCTTGCTGAACCTGTATAGTGACACAGTCCACACAGCTTCACTTGCTGTCATTGCCTTTGTTAGGGACAGTTTCAAAGGCAGCATTCCAAATCAGAGATCCTAAGCCAGAGGACGAAACGCACACACGGAGTACTGGAACCATGATCTCAGGCACATGGATATAAGAGCCAGGTCATTGAGACGCCACCAGCGGAGAGGTAGGAATGCTCCTTAATGGTGGAGGAACCTTTCCCAGGTGACACACCCCTTCCTCTCTCTGAGTCCCAACTTTTGTAGTGATAACGCTGTCGCACAAATACAGGAAGCCATGACAGGTGTACCCTGTAATTTGGGTAAATTGTCTAAGTATCCTTCTCAAGTGTCTGAGAGGCGTTATGACCAAATACGCCTTAGATTACAACACAGGAGAGCAGAGAGATTTTCCTTGATGGATCAGTTGAGAGAAAGAGTGTTAGTAGTCATTTCCTGTGTCGTGGCACAATCAGCGATATTTTAACTGGCTTCACAGAAAACTTATCATCCTGGATGGCGTAATTTTTACTGATGAGGTTGTTAATTGTGAGCTCGTCAGAAGCAAAATTTAATTTCCACGGATGAATCTTATCATAACTGGAGCTGGTGGGATTTTTAGCAGAAAACTTCAATAGAAGGGACCTCCTGGTATCCAGGGAAGGGGCACAAACTCAGTTAGTTATATATCCTAAGGCTCCTCCAGCCTTACTGAGTCCAACAGATGTGTTATCTATACAAAGTCTATCCCAGAATTAGGAGAATTGGGATGGTCATTTAAAAAACAAAATGTTTTGTAATTTAAAGTAGTTAACAAAAGAAAATGTAAATCAGTAGGCCTATTTATAGGTACTGAACTTGATCCAAAGAGCTTGGGTTCAGCAGTCACTTCCACGCCGACCTCTGCTCTGGAGGAGGAATGTGCTGGCAGTCCTGACTCAGCTGTTTGATGCAGCCTGACAACCATGTCTGCGCTGATGTTTGTCCTGCCACGGTTCAACTTATCATTTCATTCCCTATAGGGTCCATAATCAAGATTCCCTGGTGTGTCCTTTCAGACTTTATGATATTTCTTCCAGGAAACTCAACCTCTGATCTGGCGCTTCTAGAAAGGACCTGTAGGCAAATGTAAGCAGAAAAATTACAAACCAGCCTGTGGTTGATATGACTAAATGGCTCTGGTTAATTTTTATAATCAGCATACAGAATGGAGGGAAGTAGAATCCTCTATTAAGATATAATACTTACGATTTATTCACTGTATAAGGGTCTGGGAGCATGGTTTTTCTGAACCTGAAAAGTATATAACCACTGAAACACACTTATATAAATAACAAGTTACTTATATGTAATTCAACTAGAAAGACTGAAGTTTTCTTTTGACATTTTCAGGTTTTAATATTTTGGTTTGGTAAACAAAATCACTCTCGTATGAGTTTTCAGTTTTTTAAACCTGTGCTATCTAATATAATAGCCGCTAGCCACATGTAGCTATTTAAAATTAAATTATTTAAAATCAGATAAAATTAAAAATTCAGTTCCTCAGACATACTAGTCACATTTCAAGTGCTCAACAACTACACGTGGCTGATAGTTATAGTATTGGACAGTGCAGATCTGGGACATTTCCACTGTCTCAGAAAGCTCTATTGGACAGTGCTAATCTAGAGAATGCCATATGAATCTGGTTGTATTCATTGCCTCTCCTTTGTAAGATGAAGAACCAAATCTTGTGTTTCACCATGGCTGCCCAGGAAACCCCAAAGATATTTTAGCTGTAAAAGACATCTTAACAGTTTCATGATTGCAAATTTGGGAAAGAGCAATATTAAAAAGAGTCATCAGGATAGATTGGTCACAAAAACAAGATGTTGTTGTCTTGGAACAGTTGCTGTCTTGGCTGTGTCATTAAACAGAGTAACAATAAAATATTTAAAATAAAGAGAAGTTAAAATAATAATCATTAAATTTATTAGTTATTCTTTTTTTTGGATGAGGAAGATTGGCCCTGAGCCAGCAGCTGTGCCAGTCTTCCTCTATTTTGTATGTGGGACAATGCCACAGCGTGACTTGATGAGTGATGTGTAAGTCCACAGCTGGGATCCGAACCCACAAAGCAGAGGAAAAGAACTTAATCACTACACTACCGGGCTGGCCTCTATTAGTTATTCTTGAAGTGAAGATTCCTTGTTGCTTCTTGAAACAACCCAGGAGCATGGTAAAACGTGACATGAAAGCAAAGCAGTAGACATTTGAGAGTCAGAGTTTGCACTAGGTGAGGCAATGTAAAGTTGTCACCTTCTAAGAGTGTACAGCAGGCGAGAGTAACTCTTTATTTCCTCCTGTGGAGAGCAGATTACAGGCTAAGGTGAGAATTTTTCCTTAGCTGTCAGTTCTCTCCTTTCTATCACAGCTAAGCTTTTTACTTATTGATGGTATTATAGCACTGTATATATTTAAACATATACATATATAATATACAATGTCCAATAGCATTTATATTTGAAAATGTAAATTTAAATCTTAAATAACATTATAAAACAATGTATCTATTACATTATTTTACCATTTTGATTTGTTTTCTAAAGAATATGTTTGTGTATAGGCAAGCATATAAGTAAAAACTATTGGGTTAAAAAAACTACATTGTGATAATTCAGTAATTTTTTTCTCTCTGTTTTAGGAATTCTGATTTTCCTAGAAATTTTTGTCTATTAAAAATTAGTCATTACTTTCAAATATAAAAGTCAGCAAGAGTTTTTAGAAATTTAAGCATCCTTAAATAATCTGCAATCACTATTGATATTAAAATTATCATAAAAATTACATTTTTAGAATTTCCATACTTTGATTAGAGTACCTCTGCAGATTCACATAATTTGCAGCATGTCTGAAGTCCCAAATCAATTCTTTTCATGAAGATTTTGATTATATAATTCAATTTGGTTGAACACAAATGTTTACATTTTCACATTCTCAAACATTTATGAAAACAATGTTAGTTTAAAATGAATAAAAACAGTATAGGAAATATATAGAGTTCAGATTGATTATCCTTTCTGTGAGAAAATAAAGCAAATTTTGCATAGACTAGAACATTATGCTAACATTATTTTTATACTGTGATAAAATCAGGAGGGCATCATAGAAAAGTAGTCTATTTCCCAAGGATTGCCTTTGACTAGAAATATTGTTTGAGGGTGAAACCCGGCAAACAGCCATTGATGATTAAGCATCTAGGTACTCAAGTTTTTTCCTTTTTGCAGTTACTGATTACAGGTTTTAGCTGTGTAGCCCACCCATTGTTAACTGTGCTGCTTAGGCAATCTGCTACCTGACTCCCACCAGGCTCCTACAGATAATATCTCCCTGGAGCCTGGGTCACCATGGTAATGGGTGTGTGAGCTGTTTTTCAGGAATTAGAACTCCTTGTCCACTTCAGGCCAGTTGAGGCCACCAACCCCTCAACTGGGCCCACACAGATGTCTGATAGGCGACCTTTTGACATCAAGAAGCTAAAAACTCCACCCTCTGATCATGCTAACACCACCATTTTGTGAACATGGGTCCTATGAAGAGGCATGGAGTCTGACTATGCTTGCGCAGATCATGGATTACCTCACCTCTCCTCACCTCCAATCACCTCTCTCCACATTTCAGACCACCTTGCCCCCATCCCATAAATATCCCTGAGTCCCTACTTTTGGGGAAGCCAATTTGGGGCTCATGCTCTGGCTTCCTCACATGGCTGCCTTGGAAGTAAACTCTCTCTCTGCTGCGATGTCATCGTCTTGGTGTTTGGCTTTCTGGGCGGCGGGCAAAAATGAACCTGGTTCAGTAACAAATGGCGAGCCAGCCAGGAGCTAAGTGCAGATGGACCTTTTTGCCCGAGATTCGTGAGCCCCTTTCCAGTATGGAGGACCTGTGGGTGCATCCAGCAGCTGCCGGGTGCATTTCTCCTGGGACTGTTCTGGGACTCTTTCCTGGCTTGGCGCTGCCGACTGCTTGGTGCATATTTTCACTTTCAGTAGAGAGACAGCTTCTTGGTTTGGAAGATGTCTTTTTGGTGAGTAACTTGGGTACAAGTGATCGCATTCTTATTCCTCCTTCGTTTAAGTCTGACTTCCGAAAGGAAGCCTTGGTTTGGCAGGGGACGCCCTCCGGGACTTCCAACAAAGGAAGCCTTGGTCTGACCTTCATTGTGAGGGTCTTGGTTTCGAGGATGCTCAATAATAAGTAAGAACTAGGGGATCCACTCACAGAAGTGCTCTTGGCTTGGCTTGGTTTGGTTTGTTTTGAGATCTGGTTCTAGCTGCTGCATAAATATACTTTGACCGGCCGGGTCTAAATTCTGAAACAATGGGGAATGCTAATTCCATTCCTACCTGCAGCCCCCTAGGCTGCATTCTTCAAAATTGGACAACTTTCAATTACAAGTCCAAGAAGAAGACAAAGATGGTATTTTTCTGTAACACCACATGGCCACAGTCAGAGAGTTCTCTGGTCTTAATAACTTCATCAAATTTGGAATCTCAGCTTCCACTCGTGGTGTTACTGATGCTAATGGAAGCTCCACATCCCACCCTAACCCCACCTCTGCCTGGTGTTGAAGCGTCCATGTTCCACCCCGGGAGTTCTCCTCTGGTTTTTGGGCACCTGGAGTGATTCCAGGTTGGCCCCTTGGTCAATCGTTGACTGACAATCTGGAACCCTGTTTTCTCTCCTGTCAAGAGCTTATTGAGGATTTTAGGCACCTACTAAGTCAGTTGTGGGGACGGGAGACCGATAATTTATTCTGTAAACTGTCTTGCCCAGGAACTGTTGTTTGTGTGACCTTATCTTGATGACTCTTGGGAAGAGGCTGGGAGGGTGAGGCCTGATCACTCTTTCCCTTCTTTGTCTGTCTCGTTCATCACCTCCTCTGTTGTCATCAGCTAGGGGTTCAGTTCAGGCTGGACCTGAGCAGAACCTAGACCTTCTGTAAAGTCAAAACTTGGAAAACTTTCTGCTAGGGACTTAACTCTCAACCCTGGCACTGGGAGCCCACCCCGGCCAGCTCCAAGCCTTTGCCTCTTGCCTCCCTGGCTTGCCTTGTGCTGAATGGGGCTTGACTAAATCTTATAACTATATTGACGCCTGTGGTCAGGCTCTGCACCCTTCTCCGGCCCACTGTCAGTCAGACACTTACTGTCAGTCAGCCTTAGCACCATGCGGATGCCCCAAGCATCTGTGGAGTCTCACCCCTCGGGTGCATTTTAATTAATTGGAAATGCTTTCAACTTTGGATAGGTTATGCCCCAGAAACTCCATCTTGGAGAAAACGTGAGTGGTTTCTCTGTGCCTTTATGCTGTAATTGGACAGGTAGATCAACCCATAGTGTCATTTGAGTCACAACCCAATTTCTGAGAAATCAAGAGCAACTGTCCTAGGAAAATCCTTGTAAGACTGGAAATGCAGCTCTAGAGGCAGTTCCACCCATTTCCCCTATCTCAGAGAGCTTGCAAATCCTCTGGGGACTATCTAGCCCATCACTAATTTCTAAGACTGAATAATAAAAGGGGGAAAAGGCCAAAAAAATGGCCAGAAGAGCACCTTTGCCAAAAATCTAGCATCTTGAGTGTCTTCTCCACAAAAATTAGTAAAAAGGCTTAAAACAAAATTTGGATTCATACCTAGGGAGCTTTGTATTACTGTACCTGATTCATGGCAGTAATTTTTAAAACAATAGCTGTGGAGATTCTGTGTATGTGTGTCTATATGTATGTCAGATGTGTGTGACATTTTTACCTCCAGATGGTATGGCCAAAATTGAGAACTCTGTTTAATTGGCTTAAAGTAAGCGCTTACCTAAATTATTTATAAATGGAAAAGAAATTAATCCAAATGTTTTTTAAGTTAACATGCTATAAAATTAATCTTTGGTAAATGAAAGCTTATTTAAATTTGTTGGTTTGATTAAAATGTACATGCCCTCAGAGTCAGCACTGGACATGATGCAGACACGCAGCCTTTATTCTACATTTATTGGTCGAATAAGCTGATGCTATCTCTGTTACCAAACTGGTTAGCAGAAATAATTTTAAATGATGGCTAATTTTGTCTAATGTTTCATGAAGTTTTATAGGCAATCTAAATAATTATTGGGAATGAGTAAACTAAATGTGGAAAAGATAAAAGTGTTGGGTGAGCTTTTAAAAATAGTGATGTCTTATGACATGTATATTTAAAATAACTTCCAAAATCTTTCTGGTAACTTGAAACTTTGAGGTGTTGCTAGATAAAATTGAGTGATAAAAAACTCACTGAATACCTCAGTCATTTTTCAAATGAGATAAAATACTGAAACATTATCATTAGACATGTCTAGGTTTATCTATGTTTGGCTTCTTATTGCAAAGAAACTAAAATGTGTTTGGGTCTAATAGTAAACATGTCTTGTATTTTATTAAGATTGTACCATGAAGTAGCATGTTCCTAGAAATTATAAAACATATTTATATTGGGGGCTAGCCCAGTGGCGCAGTGGTTAAGTTCACACGTTCCTCTTCTTGGTGGCCTGGGGTTCGCCGGTTCGGATCCCAGGTGTGGACATGGCACCACTTGTCGCACCATGCTGTGCTACGCGTCCCACATATAAAGTAGAGGAAGATGGGCACGATGTTAGCTCAGGGCTAATCTTCCTCAAAAAAAAAATTATAAATTTGCCAAGCCACAGTATGCTAATGTAAAGGACAGTTCATAATTGCTTACTTTTTAGTAGGATCTGTATGGGTTAAAAATTCTAATTAATATATGTAATTAAAGCTACTAAAAATTAATAAGGCAAACAACTCTGTATACAAGGAAATTAAAATGTATGTTTTCAGTAAAGAAGCTATAAAGAATGGAAGTATTTTTGTTTGTTAGGTTAAGAAAGATAAATTTGTCCTCAAGTACTAGAAGGGAAGAAAGGAAGCATGGGACAAATTCTGAATGTAAAAAGAAAGTTATAGAAGGTT